ATGCCTACCTTAACAAAAACTTTATAACTCAAGTAATTGTCTGGGATCATGAGTAAACTGTGCAAAAAAAAATCAGACAATAGAATCTTTCTTTGGTGACAAAGAAGATCAAAGCATACAACTAGAAGAAGACAATAAAATTGAAGCTCCAACATCCAAAGCCTCCAAGAAAAATATGAATTCCCATGGAAGAGCACAAAAAAGATGTTTTTAATTTATTTTGAATTATCAACAATCACTTCCATAAGCTTTTTAGTCTTAAATTGTTCTCCCCCTCCCTCCCCACCACCCTCCCCAAGACAGTATACAATCTGAAATAGTCTATATATATACATTCCTATTAAACATATTTTCACATTAGTGATGTTGTAAGTAAGAATTAGAACCAACAGGAGGAACCATGAGAAAGAGGAAACAAAACACAGCAGAAGAACAAAAAATAGCAAATAGTGTGCTTCAATCTGCGTTCAAAGGCCATAATTCTTTCTTCTTTGTGGATAGCATTTTCCATCATGAGGTCTCTGGAGATGTCTTAGATCCTTGTATTGCTAAAAAGAGTTATCAAAATCAGTCATCGCGCAACGTGGCTATTATTGTGTACAATGTTCTCTTGGTTATGCTCACTTCACTCAGCATCAGACCATACAAGTCTTTCCAGGTTTTTCTGAAGTTAGTCTGCTCATCCTTTCTTATAGCACAATAGTATTCCATTACATTAATATACCACAACTTGTTCAGCCATTCCCCAATTGATGAGCATCCTCTCAATTTCCAATTCTTTGCCACCACAAAAAGAGCTGCTATGAATATTTTTGTACATATTTTGTACATGGGATCTTTTCCCATTTGTATGATCTCTCTGGAATATAGCCCCACAAGTGTTATTGCTGGGTCAAAAGGTATGCACATTTTTATAGCCCTTTAAGCATAGTTCCAAAGTGCTCTCCAAAAGGGTGGATCATTTCACAACTCCACCAACAATGCTTTAGTATTCCAATTTTCCCACATCTTCTCCAACATTTTTCATTTTCCTGTTTTGTCATTTTGGACAATCTGATAGGTGTGATGTGGTACCTCTGAGTTGTTTTGATTTGCATTTCTCTAATTAATAGTGATTTAGAGCATTTTTTCTTATGACTACAGACGGCTTTAATTTCTTCATCTGAGAATTGCCTGTTCACATCCTTTGACCATTTATCAATTGGGGAATGATTCATATTCTTATAAATTTGACTTTATTCTCTACATATTTTAGAAATGAGGCCCCTATCAGAGAGACTGATTATAAAAATTCTTTCTCATTTTTCTACTTTCCTTCTAATCTTGGTTACTTTGGTTTTGTTTGTGCAATAACTATTCAATTTAATGTAATGAAAGTTATCCATTTTGCTTTTCATAATTTTCCCTATCTCCTGTTTGGTCATGAATTTCTCTGTTCTCCACAAATCTGATAGGTTAAATTATTCCTTGCTCTCTTGGTTTGCTTACAGTATCAACTTTTATATCTAAATCATGAAACCATTTTGACTTTATTTTGGTATATGGCGTGAGATTTGATCTATGCCTGGTTTCTGCCATACTTTTTTTTCCAGTTTTCCAAGCAGATTTTGTCAAAGAGTGAGTTCTCATCCCAGAAGCAGGAGTCTTTGGGTTTATCAAATAACAGATTACTATAGTCATTGACTACTGTGTCTTGCATATTTAACCTATTCCACTGATCTACCACTCTACTTCTTAGACAGTAACAAGCAGTCTTGATGAATGCTGCTTTATAATACAATTGAAGATCTGGAATGGCTAGGCCAACTTCCCCTGCATTTCTTTTCATTAGTTCCCTTGATATTCTGGACCTTTTGTTATTCCTAATGAATCTCGTTATTATTTCTTCTAGCTCTATAAAATAATTTTGGTAGTTTGTTTGGTATGGCACAGAATAAGTAAATTAGCTTAGGTAGAATTGTCATTTTTATTATATTGGCTTGGCCTACCCATGAGCAACTGATGTTTGTTTTTTTCCAATTATTTAGATCTGACTTTATTTGTGTGAAAAGTGTTTTGTAATTATGTTCATATAGTTCCTGGGTTTGTTTATTAGATAGACTCAAATATTTTATAATGTCTATAGTAAGTTTAAATAAAATTTCTCTTTCTATCTCTTGCTGTTGGACTTTGTTGGTAATATATAGATATGTTGATGATTTATGTGGGTTTATTTTGTATCCTGCAAATTGCTAAAGTTGTTTATTATTTCAAGTAATTTTTACTTGATTCTCTAGGAGTCTCTAAGTATATCATCATGTCATCTGCAAAGACTGATAGCTTTGTTTCTTCTTTACCTATTCTAATACCTTCAATTTCTTTTTCTTCTCTTATTGCTAAAGCTAACATTTCCAGTACGATAATGAAGAACAGAGGTCATGATGGATGTCCTTGTTTCACTCCCAATCATTCTGGAAATTCTTCTATGTTGTCTACATTACATATGATGCTTGCTGAAGGTTTTAGGTAGATGTTATTTATTATTTCGAGGAAGACTCCATTTATTCCTATGTTCTCTTGTGTTTTTAATAGGAAAGAGTGTTGTATTTTGTCAAAAGCTTTTTTCTGTATCTATTGAGATAATCATGTGGTTTCTGTTAGTTTTGTTGTTGATATGATCAATTATGCCGATAGTTTTCCTAATATTGAACCAGCCCTGCAATCCTAGTGTAAATCCTATATGATTATAGTGTGTTATTCTTGTGATAAATTGCTGTAATCTATTTGCTAATATTTTATTTAAACTTTTTTTAAAGTCAGAATTATCAACATTACTGTCAAACAGGAGACATTCAGTTGGACTGGGGAAACATTATGCCAAAAAAAGAAGCACTTTCAGAGTATATATACAACAAATACGTATATTGATACTTGTGTATGTGTGTATATACATCAATTAGGAATATATGCTATATATGTGTATATGTATATATATAGAGATGTGTGTGTATACATTCACACACATATGCACATATACATAGCATATATGTTCCAATTATATAAAAATCTACACATATATCAGAATAGGCATTATTTGTATATAGCTTCACTATGCTTTTAAACACTTATTTCTCAAACGCAATAGAATGCTTGAGGTAAACACACATACACATATGTATATATACATTCATATATGGCATATGATGAAAACAGGAATGAAATAATGTCCATGATCACATACACACACATCACATAAATGTGCCCCCTTTAGCAAGGTTTCATTAGTTTACCTTCCTGATTGATAATGACTAACATTGTCAGGGCTCCTGAATTAGCAGGAGTAACAACCTTCTAGCCCTCAGATTTGCTCCCAGAAGGCTGACAGAATTAGTAGTAGCCAACTCCTGGAGACTCAGCTCCCTAATATGAAAGAATACTGGGAAAGGGGGGCCAAGAGGGATTCTATACATTTACATTTATATCAATTCCTATAAATATGTAGAGAGATATATGCATAGATCCAGATCTAGGGCAATGACTATAACATTTTTAATAGAATCAGAGTCTGATCAGAAGTTATTTCATTGGTATAGGGAAATTCTGTTGAGGAGTTGAAGTAAGCTCCCTTTTCCATTGCAGATTCCACCTGCTGGGCCATTTTTTAGTCTTACGGAGCCGCCTATGGCACATACAGGCTAAATGACTTGAATAGCATCATATAATCAGCAAGTAGAAGAGTGAAGACTTGAAATCAAGGCTTTCAATTCCAAGGCCTGCTTTTGAACAGCTCTACCACACTGTACTTTCATTTCTATGCTTCTATCTCTGTTTCTTCCTGTGTGCTTCTCTCATTTTCTCCTACATTTCTATCTTTCTATGTTTCTGTCTATCCAGATTTCTATTAATTTCTCTATTTCACATACAACTGTAGATACATATTTGTATATCTATTCATATGTACATGAATAAATGTCTTCATACACATTTGTATATGAAATAGGTATGTTGGGAGCTCGTTGGAGCCTTAGGCAGAGAAAGATGCATCTAATGGACTGGCTAAAATTGTATTTAAAGTTTTTCCATCAACATTGATTAGTAAGTTCAGATTATACTTTACTTGAATACTATATTGCATATTAAAAAGGTATAGTCATCAGAGAAAGTCTGCAATCGGTGGAGGGCAGCATGATGTCGATCAATTGATTGAATGACATTGGTAGGAGATACAGAAGTGGTTTTGCTTTCAAACTTTATCTCTGCTTTGTCTTCCCTTGTCTAAGTTTTGAGACCTTATTTATCTCATAAAGGACATTTGATAGAATCATTTTTCCTCCAGCACTGATATTTTTGCAGCAAAAATACAAAATACTAAAAAATTGCTATTAATTGTACTTTAAATATTTTGAAAATTAAAAGAACATTGGCCTGTACCAGGAATTTTTATTTGTAATTCATTTTCCGTTTAATTTCACTCTCAGACCAGGTTATATTTATCTCTTTTTCTTTTTTTGTTAACTTGGTTATTTTGATGTATGGCATGCAGTGATCTCATTTATTGAAAGAATAATAACTGGTCCAGTTCCCCCTAGACCTGCTCAGTCTTCTTTATGTTGTTGTTTCTGGTGAAGAAAACATGCTGGCTACTAAGGAGGTGACCAATGAGTGAAGTATGGTCAAAACTTCTCTTACATTACAGACTGTTGACTTTTACCATCTCTCCTCACTCTCGTTCTTGCTTAAGTCAAATCAAACCATTGGACAAAAGTGTTTGAGAGTAACGATTATTCCTCAAAAAGAAGCCCAGAAACTTACAGGAGCAGAACCAAAATGGTAGAGTAGAGAAAGCACTCAGCTGACCCCTCCCAACATTCCCCTCCAAATAATTTTAAAATGATGCCTCAAATCAAATTCTGGAGTGGCAGATCCAACAAAAGGTTAAAGTGAGACATTCTTCTAGTCCAAGACAACTTCAGAGTTTAGAAAAAGACACTAGTGATATGGGGTGGAGGCTGACCCAAAGACTACATGGATGAAACACCGATGATAGGGCTAAGTCGTAATGACAGAAGCAGCAGCAGCTTTGGGAGCTCCCAAACCAAAGACAGCAAGGGGACCTGGCAACTGAAAGAGACTGCAGGGGTCTGCTGTTCTAGCACTGGATGCAAGACCAGGCACTCTTTGGCAACTCCATTGCATATAATCTTTTCTGGGTCATAGTTCAAGAGCAGGAAGGAGCATTTTCTGTCAAGAGGGAGTAGAAGCCCTAAGGAGTAATATCACGTCCAACCCTAAGGAATCAGTGGCCTTTAAAGGGCAAAGACCAGAGTCTAGGCCAGGAGAACAGTGGCCATGCCTCTCCCCAAATCACACCACCTAGAAACAACAAAATCTTCCAAATGCTCAGAATTAGCTGTGAAAACAGTTGTATATTGCTAAAATTACTCCATCTCTGTGTTCCTTACCCAGGCAAAATCTGGTTATTCAATGTTCTTACTCAACATCTGTAATGCATTGAAGGTCCCTTGATCAGTCAATGTCAAGCCAGTATAGGTACCTAAATTGTTCCATCCCAGCAGCTCTTTGTTCCATAGCCTTACACAGAGGAGGTATTCCATAAAAGTATGACTGACTGAGCTTCTCAGAGCTCTTCCATCTGATGCCTCCTTATAACATTCAGAAGCCACTCTGTAACATTGAAGACACTTCTTGAGTTTCTCAGTGGTTCATCATTTACAGGAAACTGATTTTGATATAGGTTTCAGCATTGAGAGAATTTGAATTAGTATAAATAAAATGGTTTGATGACAACAATGAATGAAAAGCTAAAAAACAAAAACAAAAACAAAAACAAAAGAAACAAAAAATCCAGCCAACAAAATAATGTGGTGACCATATGGTAACCAGAAATATTATTAATATTTTCAATTTAAATCTCCATTAAAGATTCAAAATCTATCAAAATGTGAGATGAAATGCAGCAATGTAAAAATGATGTCTGCAGTAATAGCAGCTAGAAGTTTAAATATGAGAAAATAATAACTTAAGGATGATGATGATTTTTCTTTTTCTAATGTCAATAGTTTATTACAGATGGGACATCAGAAGAAAAATTAACTGTTTGCCTAGATAACACCTTATATCATAAAGGATATTTGATAGAATCATTTTTCCTCAAGCACTGATTTTTTTCAGCATAAATACAAAATACCAAAATAAAATTCATATATATTTATTCTGTAACCTTTGGAAATCTGCTTTCTCAAAGTCTAGGGCAAATGCTGGACCTCTATCAATTTTATGTTCCTTCTTGTATAAAAACTCTTTCTTTCATAAGTTTTCCATAATTTCCATCCCAGTGACCAGTTCTTCATGGCTCATGACAATCAAATCCAGACTAGAATTTACCCTTGTTGGGTCCTCAATATTTTGAAGAAGGAAATTAACATTAAGTCAAATCTGGAAGTTATTATTTGCTCTGATTTTGATAGAAAGGAATAGATCCAGGGGACTCTGGATACTAAAGTCTCTCATAATTACTGAATAATTATAATGCATATGTGCCAGGCTTGTGATCAACTTACCAAAGAAGTGATTTAGTTTCTCTTTCTGTTCAGATGGTTTGTGGTGAAAGCAAAACCACTTCTGTATCTCCTACCAATGTCATTCAATCAATTGATCGACATCATGCTGCCCTCCACCGATTGCAGACTTTCTCTGATGACTATACCTTTTTAATATGCAATGTTACCCAACCACTCTTTCATCTTTCCTGTGTCTGTTGAATAAGCAATATTCAAGTAGAGCTATATTCCAGCTGTAGTCTTCATCCTACCACATCTCAATGAAACCTGTGAGGTAATTTTAGGTCTAGGATCTCACATTCCTCTAACTTGTTGCATAGACATTGTATATTTCCTTATAGACATTTGCATTTACAACTTTTATAAAAGCCATAGGCTTAATTACTGTTGATTCCTTTAAATTTGCCTCTAGTGAACTTCTAAGTTTCTCAGCTGCTCTTCTACTTTCATTGTAACTTCTCTTTACAGAATTTAAACACATGAAATTTTGATAATTACTCATCCTGTTTCTTGCAAAGTGCTTTTGATTGGATTTGGTTTTGAACCTGCTCTATTAAGTTCTTAATTCTCATCCCAAGCCTTTCCACCAAAAGCTCTTATTTCTTTTCCTATTATTTCCTTCATTATTCTTTTAAAATTAATATTTTAACTCTTTAGAAACAAACACTTTTTCCTGCATTTTGTGAAAAATTCAAATTGACCTTACACTCAAGCTGTTTTTGTTCAAAGCAGCTTTGCTTGCAGTTATCTTGGAGCTGATGGTTGTTGACATGTTCCAGTTCAGCATGGAAAAGATAGTCTTGCAATGTTGACTACATATTTTTCTCCATTAGCATCTGAAAGACAACTCTATGTGAAAACTCTGCAGCTGAGGTATCAAACTTGTAGCCCATGGGATGTCATTTGCTCTAATCACATTAAAATAAAGATACACTACAACATAGAATAATGTTAATTTGTGGTTTTACAAGTCAATATCTGGCCCTTTTGAGTTTGAGCAAACTGTTCTACAGAATCCAACAAAGAGCCACTAAATTATTAGCTTTTCTAAACTTTTCTTAGGCAAGCACAAAAGGCAATGCTCTGTAAGTTTATGCATGAAATCCATTGGAAGCAAAATCAGGATTATAATTTTAAATCTCTAAGACAATTTAGGGAACATAATCTCTTTGGCATACAGTCCTAGAACATTGAGCCCAACCTTCCCATTTTACAGATAAGTAAACTATGGCCCAGAAAAGTAAATAATTTGACTGAATCCATGGCAAATGCTAATTGGTAGGCTCAGGATTAGAACTCAAGTCTCCTATCTCTAAACGGGGAACACTTTCCTCAGCACTGTGCTGCCTATCTCTAAATAGACAATTCTGTTTAAATAAAAAGATATTAATTTTGTGCTTACTATGTACAAGAGACTGCACAAGGATGAAAGTAAATTGAAAGACAAAATGAAGAAAAAGGACATTTGTTCAAGAATTCCGCAATATAGTAAGACATATAAATCATGTAGAGACATAACAATAGAAGAAAATATAATATCAAGAAGGGTATAAATGAAGTACATGCTAAGCCAATACTCCAGCACTGTTTCTTTCTGAACCACATTAACAATGAACATCATAAAATAGATGATTATGATGATGATGGTGGTAGTGGTGGTGGTGGTGGAGGTGATGATTGGTACAGATACTGTGCTTTAAAGTCATTTTACATTCTAACTTTATAACAAATGCTTGTTTTAAATTGTGCTGTTATCCCCATTTTACCTGTGAGAAAACTAAAGATGAGAAAGGGTAAATGACTGGTTTAGGAGTACAGAGCTGGTAAATGTCTGTCATAGGATTTGATAAAAATCAACGTCATAGACCTATTGGGCAGAAGTTTCTTTGCACACTTTAATATTTGATGCAAAATTTACTTTAGGGAGGTTGGTTTTTTAAATATTAATTTAATATTTATTTCCCTAATTACATGTAAGAACTGGGCAAGTCATTTGACCCTGTTTGCCTCAGAAAACTCATCTGTAAAATGAGCTAGAGAATGAATTGGCAAGCCATTCCTTTATCTCTGCCCAGAAAACCCCAAATGGGATCAAAAATAGTCAGACATGACCTAAACAAATGAACAACACAGCAAAAAGGACCATTCATATTTAAAAAAGGTTTTCTCTTTAGTCTTGTCAAAGCAATGGTCAACAACAGTTAGTCTAGGAGGTAGTGCAGGAGAATGCTTCATGAGGAATTTAAAATTTTTAAATTATGTACCTGCTAACTGTGAGTCTTATCCATTTTGTTTTCCACTAGAGATTTAGATTCATGGGTGAAAAAATATCCAAATGTAATTTTAAAAACATAAAGATAATACTTATATGATATAAAAGTAAATTCCCAAAAATATTTTGGCCTTGTAAGAGGACAAGTGTACTAGAGCTCACATTCTTTTTGTTTTCCTCTCCACAATTTTCCAAACGTCTAAATAATTGACTTAATATGTCTGAGTCTTAAGTTCTGCTATTACTCTCCCAGAACTGAAAAAAAAAAAGAAATTGAATATATCTTGATGAATGTCTGTGGACAGTTTATAATCTCTTAAAAGGAATTTTAGCTCTCCCGACAGAATAATAGAAAACGACTTGGAGTTCATACTGGATTATATTTAAAAATACTGTGACATGCATTGCCTCATTTTATTGAACCCTGGTAGAGAAAAGTATTATTGTATTCATTTTTAAAAGGAGGAAACAAATTCTCAAAAATAAATTTTCTTAACTCCAATGAAAGGACAAGAAAATAGGAGAATCAAAATTTTAACTTGAATGTGCAGACAGAAGTTCAGGTCTATTTTCACTATGGAATGGAGATTAATATTACAGTGCAACTCTGTATTACTTAGATCTCAGTGTTTCAAATTTCAGTCAGCATCCTACAAAAGAACATGGGAAAAATTGGAAAAGGTTTATAGCTAAATATAAAGAATATTAAAATATGCACAGAAAGCAAAGGGAAGGAAATGTTTCTATGGAAAGGGAAAAACATGGATCTAGTGCTGGGAAGAATAGGAACCAGGATAAATGAGGAATACAATTGCTCAAATGTTGCAAAATGATTTGGTTTCTGAAGAAAGCCAGAGATTGAGTTGAAGAGCAAATATTTGGGAAGATTTGAGAAGTTAAAGGAGGACAAAAGACTAGAAATTTTCTTTGGTCCTGCAAGGCTCTCAGTCCTTTTCAAAAAAGGAAATGGAACAAGAAATAAAGTAATTCTAGCTAATTCCATAATCTAGGACACCAAGAACCTGAACAAGGTAAAAAACCCAATGAATTAGTAGGGTAGGCCAACATTACATCACCTCTGTTATGCTCACTCAGCATCTCTTGAAATAGCAACCACCATGCTCTGCCTGTAAAGATGCATAAACTGACTCATACACTTACAACAGGCCTCAATGACAGAAAAATGAAGCATATTATTGTTAATATAAAATGCAACATGAACTTCTCAGTCTGAAGGCCATCCTCACAGTAAGGGAAGCCCTTGAATGATCCCCCAACTCCAAATGCATGAGCAGAAAACTGAAATGCAAATGAAGTGTTAGCAAATGCATCAATAAAGAATATTTTCTTTTTTTAATTTTTAATTTACTTATTTTTGTTTTCAATATTCACTTCCATAAGCTTTTGAGTTTTCAGTTTTCTTCCCCTCCTTCCGTCTTTTCCCCCCTCCACAAGAAGGTGTGTAATCTAATATAGGCTCTACATATACATTCCTATTAAATATATTTTCAATCTGCATTTCATTCAATTTCAGTCTGCATTCATACTTCATAGATCTTTCTCTGGGTGTGGATAATGTTTTCCGTTATGAGTCTTTTGGAGTTTTCTTACATCCTTGCATTGCTTAGAAGACCCAAGACCAAGTCTATGTAAGTCATCGCACAATGTTGTTGTTACTGTGTATAATGTTCTTCTGGTTCTGCTCACTTCACTCAACATCAGTTCATATAAGTGTTTTCAGGTTTCCTGAAGTCTGCCTGCTCATCATTTCTTATAACACAATAGTATTCCATTACATTCATATACCACAGCTTTTTCAGTCATTCCCCAATTGATGGGCATCCCCTCAATTTCCAATCTTTGGTCACCACAAAAAGAGCTGCTATAGATATTTTTGTACATGTGGGCACTTTTATTTGCATAATCTCTTTGCAATACAATCCTAGAAGTGCTATTGCTGGGTCAAAGGTTATGCACAGTTTTATAGTCCTTTGTGCATAGTTTCAAATTGCTCTCCAAAATGGTTGGATCAGTTCCCAACTCCACCAACAATGAATTAGTGTTCTAATTTTCCCACATCTTCTCTAATATTTGTCATTTTCCCATTCTGTCATGTTGGTCAATCTGATAGGTATGATGTGGTACCTCTGATTTGCATTTCTCTAAACAACAGTGATTTAGAGCATTATTTATATGACAATACATAGCTTTAATTTCGTCATCTGAAAACTGTCTATTCATATCTTCTAACCATTTATCAAATGGGAAAAGACATGTATTCTTATAAATTTGACTCGGTTCTCTATGTATTTTAGAAATGAGACCTTTATCAGAGACACTGATTGTAAAAAAAAAAATTTCATATATTTCTGCTTCCTTTCTGATCTTGATTCCATTGGCTGAGTTTGTGCAAAAACTTTTCATTTAAATGTAATCAAAATCATCCATTTTGTATTTCACAATATCCTCTTTCTCTTATTCAGTCATAAATTCTCCCCTTCTCCGTATATCTGACAGGTAAATGGTTCCTTGCCCTTCTAGTTTGTTTACAGGATCAGCCTAATAAAAGTTATTTTCCAATAGGGAATCATGGGAGGCTCCATGAATATGGTGAAAATTGAACTGAATTTTCAAAGAGAAGTACATTTTAAACAGGTAAGGGTGATAACAGTCAATTCTGTCATGTGAACGAGTGGCTATGAGGACATCTAGGTGAGAAGCCAAAGTGTGTTCTTGGAATAGAATCAGGATTATGGAACTGAATTTTGTTGCCCATGATAACAATCCATTTTCCTTCCACTTGGGTAATAATTTCATTTGTTATATCAGGTCCATGACCAAATATATCACTCAATCAAGGTAAAGGTTTATATGGTCCCCTTGTATGTATCTAAATAATTAAAAAAAATTGATGAAAGATTCCCTTGGTAAAATGACACAAATGTCCCAACTGTATATTTGGGGACTTAATTTTTTTTATTTGTTAACAAAATATTAACTATCAATTTCACTTTTAGGCTAGTGGTCTCGTTACCTTGTGCATATAACATCTTATTCTTACATTCTTTTATTTTTTCATTTTTTGAAAGATGGACATTTCCTTCCTGGGAAAAAAGGTCATTTTCATTATCCTACCCAGTGCAACCTTTATTTTCATGTTCCTCAGACTATAAATAATAGGGTTCATAAATGGAGGCAATATTGTGTATGTCATAGAAATCAGAAGATTCTGGACGGGTGAAGTGTCTGATAGAGGACTAAAGACTGTTACCATGCCAGCAAGAAGGAATAAGAAGAGAATGATCAATTGTGGTAAACAAGTAGACAAGGCTTTGTAGCGTCCTTCCACAGAGGGCATTCTAAATACAGTGGAGAAGATATAAGTATAGGATATGATTAAAAAAACAAAGCAGAATAAAACTAAAGTTGAACTCGTGGCAAGGAGAATATACTCAGTATCATGGACCTCAGAAGATGAGACCTTCAAGATATGAGGGATATCACAAAAAAACTGATGGATCAAATTGGATCCTGAGAAAGGCAAACGGAACATATTCCCAGTATGGACAGCTGAATAGAGGAGCCCACTGAGCCATGAACCACTCACCACCCAAAGAGAGCAGAGTGGTGTCATGGTGACCCCATAGTGCAAGGGGTGGCAGATGGCCACAAAGCGGTCATAGGACATAGCCACAAGGAAAGCAAATTCAGTTGCAGCAAAGAAGATGAAGAAGAAAATCTGAGCAGCACAGCCATGGAGAGAAATGGATTGATTGCCTGTCAAGGAATTCACAATGAATTTGGGAAGAGTGACTGAGATGCAGCCAAGATCCAACAGGGATAAGTTGCTCAGAAAAAAATACATTGGAGAATGAAGGTGTGGGTCAGTGACAATGGCAGCGATAGTGAGGACATTCCCCATCAGGGCTGCAATATATATCAATGAGAAAAGAATAGCATTTAAGACCTGCAGCTCTCGGATGCTAGAAAACTCCATAAGGAAGAATTCCATGATGATCGTACAATTGATCATGTCTTCTCGGGTCCTATAATTCATCTTGAAACAATATTAGTAGAAGACATCAAATTCTAAAAACAGAGCACAGAAGTACTTTATTACACAGAAAGTGCACCAACTTCAACCTATTCTTACTCACCATGTTAGAGAGCAAATGAGACCATTTTAAAAGTTAAGGTATCACTTACCATTCTACTGCAACCACATTCCATCCATAATTGGAAAACATCTACCCAACTGTACAAACTTAGCCACCTTGAATTGACTTACTTAATGGCAACTCACTCCTGACTTGTCCTACAAACACACACACACACACACACACACACACACACACACAAACCACCACAATCCCTAGATTGATTCTCTTTTGCAAGATAACAGCATATCCTGATGCAAAACATATCTGTTCATATATATACAGATAGATCAGAGATGATAGATAACACAGACCATTTATTGGATTCTTTGTATTGTCAGACACCTGTACTGACTGAAATTTTAGTTTTCAGTGAGACTTTAGACATCTTGAGACTGTCTGTTCCTGGGGTGGGGAACTTGCAACCTCGTGTCCATATGTGGGTCCTTAGATGTGGCCTTTTGACTGAGTCTAAGTTTCACAGAACCAATCCTGTTATCAAGGGGATTTGTTCGTATTCAGTCAAAGGGCTGTACTTAAGCACCTAGAGGGCCACGTGTAGCCTTAAGGTCACAGGTTCTCCACCCCTGGTCTATCCCATGTATATGTGCATTTCCATTTTGAAGGATATCAAAGCTCTAATGTCTATTTCAGATTTTTGAAAGGTAGGACCTGCCTAAAACCTCTACCTAAAACTTCATGATGTATGAATGAGCTTCTGACCATTCAGTACCAGGAATGGGGAAACTGGGGCCTTGAGGACACATGTGGCCTTCTAGGTGCTTAGGTGCAGCCTTTTGACTAAGTCTAAGTTTTACAGAATAAATCCTTTTATTAAGGGAATTTGTTCTGTGAAGTTTTGATTCAGGCAAAGGGCTGCACCTGAGGACGTAGAGGGCCACATGTGGCCTGCAGGCCATAGGTTCCCCACCTCTGCTACTGAATGGTCAGAAGCTCACTAATATGTAATTGAAGAATTGCTGAGACCCTGGAAGAAGTGAATTTCTGACTATTTGGAGGGATCTTTTAAATTGAATCACAGGATAGTAGACTCAGAGCTGCATGGGATTTTAGAGGCCATGTTCCCAGCTCCCTTAACTACAGAGGCAGCCTAGAGAGGAACAGGACTTTCTTGGGCTGGCACAGGTGGTGTGTGGCAAAGCCAGTTAATAATCTCAGCACTCTTTCCTTTGGATTTACTCAAAAGTATGACCATAATTACTTGCGTTAAATACTTTAAGTGTTTCTATGAGAATAATTAGAATAGGGGATACCGTCCTCAAGAAAAATGAACAAATTTTTGCAAACTTTAAGGAACTATATTCTTAAGAATTATTGTCATTATTATTTGTTGTAATAATAAAATATTCATCACTGATTACAAATGGTTTTCACAAGATATCTCATTGTCTTATGCTGTCTATTGATAATCTCTAAGGATTTGCTGTAAAGACTTTTGTTTCCAGTAGATTTACACTCTCGCTGCCTCAAATCTATGTTCATCACACTGACCTTATTAATTTAATTAATCAACACTGATGAATTAATTCCTCTAAGTAACACTAATCACCATATGCATATTCAGATATACTCCTAGGATAGCTTTTTTTTCCTGTTTTACCTTAATAATTTGGTTTATTTAATTTACATTTTACCAATTTTGGGAGTGTATAATTCTTGGTGACATGAGATATGTGTGTTCAAGCCAAAGAGTCAAAAGCCAAGGCATTAAAAATAATAAGAATATAAGAATATGATTGTCCTTTGTCATTTTCATTAGGAATCATTTTCTTGCTCATAAAATATATGCATATATATATATACATATATGTGTTTGTGTGTTTTGTATATGTATATGTGTATGTATGTATATAATTCATATAGTATATACAGTCTCTAACATTAATATTTAATGAGATCTCTGATTTCATCAAAGTAGAATTATACCAGAAGAGAAAATCTCTCTTTCAACGTCAGTGATAACAACTAATAATAGTCTTAGTGGCCTCTAGTACTGGGAAGTTAAGTGATTTGGCAAGAGGCACAAAAAATAATTTCTGTCAGCATCTGGATTTGAATCCAGGTGTTTCTTCCTACAAGGTCATTTCTCTAACTACTCTCATGCTGCCTGTTAAATAACAATGATAGTGGGCATAGTAATATAATGATAATATTCATAATAGCAATTATTTTACTGCCACAAAACATATTTATATTAAGTTAGACTTTCTCCAAAATAATTCATTTCACTGAGTACTTACCCAAACCCTGAGAGACAGGGAGAGAAAATCTTATCCAGCTTTAAAAAAATTAATTCATTTTATCACAATCTGCACATCTGAAGTTGCCTGAGCTAGAGGTGATATATGTTTGTGTGGGATAGAAAAATAATAATAACTTATATTTACCTGGCACTATTTTACAAAATATTTTACAAATAACATGTTCATAGCTCAAACTCTGTGAGAAGCTGCAGGTATTATACCCATATTATGAATGAGAAATTGAAGGTAAGAGAAGTTAAATGACTAATTGTCAGTTACGTGGCTACTATATCCTAGAGGAAGGATTTAAGCTTCAGTTTTAACTTAATTCATCTGCCGTGCTATAATGATTCTCTAAAAGGCAATGCCACAAGCAGAAATCAAACCCAAGACTTCTGACACTCACTTTATTAACTAAGCATATTGGTCATTCAGAAATGGAATATCAAAGCAAACAATACCTGAGTGAAGATTTATGGCATTTCTCATTTCCAAAGTATGTATTTTTCTTTCCCTTACCAAATCACAAGTGCTCAACAGCATTCAAAGATTATATCTATCCTCACTAAATTGGCTCTGTTCTCATTTGGAGCTTCAGAGGGCAAACTGAGCTGGAACTGTACCATGTGAAACTACTACATTTGCTAAAATATTTGATGAACATGAGTCCAGTGGAAATATACTGCCCAATGTCCTTTGGAGAAATGTTTCCTGATGTCCCCAGAGAAGCTGAAGTTATAATCTCATCCTTTTTAGCCACATATTCTCTGGCTTTTCCCTTGAGCATAATTAGTTAACATAGAGGTCCTATTATTAATAACATAGAAAAAGAAGTTCACCCTTAAAACTTATGAGGTCCATTAGGACTTCTGTAATCCATGAAGATCTTCCATATAGCCTTCAATTTTGTTCAAAATGCAAATCCATTTCACTTGGTTTCTTTTAAGCATACTTTAGAAGAGAGACTTTGATCTTCATAGGAAAAAATATTGAGTACACAGAGATATGCATGTCTCTCTATCACTTATCTATGCATATATATGTATATGCATGCATATCTATAAATACCACATAATGTATTTATTTTATACACATAAAAATGTATGCACTCTGGGGGCTAAACACCTATCATCATTTCATTAGTATCTGTATGTGTGCATGTATGTGTATATTTCTATAGACATACATATATGTATATAGATGCTAATGAAATTATAGTAGGTAGCTTTTTGGTGAAAATATATGGAAGTAAGTACACATACACACACTGTATATGTATATACTATTGGAATGAAAGTAGGTATTTTTTGGGGGAGGTGAGAGAACTGCCAAACTTTTGGCCATTTAAAAGTGGTATCTATGAGGGATTCTTTTGTCTAGTTTATCGCATAGAGGAATAACATGGTCAGATCTGTGCTTTAACTTGAAGATCAATATAATATCTGACTGAAGTATAAGCTGGAATGGAGAGAAACAAGGCAAGGATAAAAACTAGAAGGATGTGTCAAGAGGATTATTTTTTATTAATTTATTTTGATTTATCAACAATCACTTCCATAAGCTTTTTTTTTTTTTTTTGGCTAGGCAATGGGGTTAAGTAACTTGCCCAGGGTCACACAGATAGTGTGTGTTATGTGTCTGAGGCTGGATTTGAACTCAAGTCCTCCTGACTTCAGGGCCAGTGCTCTATCCACTGTGCCATCTAGCTGCCCCTTCCATAAGCTTTTGAGTTTTAAATTTTCCTCCTCCTCTTTACCTGCCTCCCTCCTTAAGATGGTACATAATCTGATATAGGCTATACATATATATTCCTATTAAATACATTTTTACATTAGTGATATTATAAGTAAGAATTAGAGCCAATAGGAGGAACCATCTGAAAGAGGAAACAAAACACAACAGAAGAAAAAAAATAGCAAATAGTATGTTTCAATCTGCATTCAAATTCCACAGTTTTCTCTTTGGATGTAGATAGCATTTTCGATCTTGAGGCTTTTGGAGATATCTTAGATCTTTGCATTGCTGAGAGTAGCTAAGTCTATCAATATTAGCCATCACACAATGTGGCTGTTACTGTATACAATGACCTCCTGGTTCTGCTTACTTCACTCAGCATCGGTCCATACAAGTCTTTCTAGGTTTTTCTGAAATCTTTCTGCTCATCATTTATTATAACACAATAGTATTCCATTACATTCATACACAACTTGTTCAGCCGTTCCCCAATTGATGGGCATTCCCTCAATTTTCAATTCTTTGCCACCACAAAAAGAGCTGCTATCAATATGTTTGTACATGTGGGTTCTTTTCCCATTTGTATGTTCTCTTTGGAATGCAGCCCTAGAAATGCTATTTCTGGGTCAAAGGATATGAACATTTTTATAGCCCTCTGAGCATAATCCCAAATTGCTCTCCAAAATGGTTGGGAAATTTGCGTTTCTCTAATCAAACTTGATTTAGAGCATTTTTTCATATGACTATAGATGGCTTTAATTTCTTCGTCTGAGAACTTCCTGATCATATCCTTTGACCATTTATCAATTGGGGAATGGCTTGTATTCTTATAAATTTGACTCAATTCTCTATATGTTTTAACAATGAGGCCCTTATCAGAGACACTGGTTGTAAAAATTATT